CTTCTGGTGGTTGAGTGGCCAGGGGGCCTTAGGTCAATCAGGCTTGGGTTTCTCAGCATGGCCCCTCTAGCTATGTGGCCTTGGATTTGTCACCTCTCTCTGAGCCTTTGTGTCGGAAAAGGCAGAATAAACATGACAGTCTTATTTCTCAGAAAGGTTAATGAAAAAAGATGACGGTAGCCAACCAACTGTTCCCACAAGGTACTCAGCAGAGTGCCTACCACTTAGCCAGATCACAGGATGTGGGAGGTATGGGCCCCTATGTGTTCCTGCCCAGGCCCAGCCCCTTTCCTTGCCTCATTGCTCCCTATCTGTGAAATGGAGCTGAGATGGCTGGAGCCAGAGTCCAGCTAGAGGACATGCCCACGTGGCATCTTCAGGGCCCTGGAGGAGGGAGTGGGAGGAGGATGGGAGGGGTGAGGTGTCAGTTCCCCATTGGTCTAGGCCAGGTGTTCTGCGGCAGTCCCCACACCACACAAGCACACACACATCTGCACCTCAGCCACATCCTACACTTGCTGAACTGGCTCCTGGGGCCATGAGGCTGTCACTGCCACTGCTGCTGCTGCTGGGAGCCTGGGCCATCCCAGGGGGCCTCGGGGACAGGGCCCCACTCACAGCCACAGCCCCACAACTGGACGATGAGGAGATGTACTCAGCCCACATGCCCGCTCACCTGCGTTGTGATGCCTGCAGAGCTGTGGCTTACCAGGTGAGTCCTTCACTCACACCCCTTCTCAAGCCAGACCCCTCCATCCACCTTACATTCTACCACCAGCCTTTGATCCCCAATCCCTACCACTGGGCATCAAGCCACAGATGCAGTCTTTAATTATATTCCATGCCTCAGTTTACCCATCTGCCTGCCCAACAGAGAGCAGACAATCTGGGAGGCCTCTTGTATCTTGAGACCCCAGGGAATCACTCACTTGTCCTTAGGCTTCTCCCTTTCCAGGCCCATCCTGGACTCCCTCCCCAAACCTGACGGGGCGACTTTGGCTATGTGTACATGGTGCACGTGCACACGTGTGAGCACCTGCACGTGAGTATGCGTGTGTCTGGGTTCACACACACATCTGCTGAGCATGCCTGCACACCAGTGTCTCTGTGAGGTGGGGGCCTGGGAGTACTTGTGCTGTTAGTTTTTCTTACCTTGTTCTTGTGGTTTAAAATGGCATATGCCGGCCGGGTGCAGTGGGTCGTGCCTATAATCCCAGCACTTTGGGAGGCTGAGTGGGGCCGATCGCCTGAGCTCAGGGGTTTGAGACCAGCCTGGCCAACATGGTGAAACCCTGTCTCTACCGAAAATACAAAAAATTAGCTGGGTGTGGTGGCGCCCCTGTAGTCCTAGCTACCTGGAGGCAGAGGGAGGAGAGTTGATTGAACCTGAGAGGCGGAGGCTGCAATGAGCTGAGATCACATCCCCGCACTCCAGCCTGGGCGACGGAGGGTGTGAGACTCTAAATAAATAAACAAAAATAAAATGGCACGTGCCACTGGGCAGGTGTGCCCTGGAGGAGGGACCCCAGTGCCCAGGCCTCACCTACCACTTTAGCATTTCTTTCCCATCCCCCACTCCCATCCCAGGGAGCTTTGGGGGCTAGGGGAGGGGCCGTGCAGCAGCCTTACAGGTGCTTCCTGCTCAAACAGCTCTCTTGCCGCCTTATTCTCCCCAGAGACTCTGCTCCTATCCACCCCACCTCCCCCTAACTGAGCAGCAGTCCTGAGGCCCTGCCTCCCAGTCCCTCCTTGTTTCAGATGTGGCAAAATCTGGCAAAAGCAGAGACCAAACTTCATACCCCAAACTCTGGGGGGCGGCGGGAGCTGAGCGAGTCGGTCTACACGGATGTCCTGGACCGGAGCTGCTCCCGGAACTGGCAGGAGTGAGTTGAAAATCCTGCCCCCACCTCCCTCCTCCAAGGGCAGGCCTGGTGAGAGGAGATTCCCACTCACCTGCTCACACGACACACACTCCACTAGGACCCTGGTCCAAGGAAGGGGCTGGCTGGGATGAAGTCTGGGCTCTGGAGCTGAGAGCAAGTGGGAGAGCAGATGGCCAGCAGACAAGGTCACCTTGTGACCTTGGGCCAAGGGCTTTCCCTCTCTGAATTCCGCAAACACCCAGCATGTCCAGCTTGGTGTGGAGAAGGGTCTCTCCCTGGCTGGGCTCCTGCCAAAGCTGTACTCCTCTCCTCTCCACTGCCACCAGCTATGGAGTTCGAGAAGTGGACCAAGTGAAACGTCTCACAGGCCCAGGACTTAGCAAGGGGCCAGAGCCAAGCATCAGCGTGATGGTCACAGGAGGCCCCTGGCCTACCAGGTGATGCCCGGGGCTTGGGGATAGAATGAAACTCCTGGAGCCTTGGTTTGCCCCACTGTGGGCTGGGCAGCATCTGAGGCTCCCACTGGGCTCCCCTAGGCTCTCCAGGACATGTTTGCACTACCTGGGGGAGTTTGGAGAAGACCAGATCTATGAAGCCCACCAACAAGGCCAAGGGGCTCTGGAGTCATTGCTGTGTGGGGGACCACAGGGGGCCTGCTCAGAGAAGGTGTCAGCCACAAGAGAAGAGCTCTAGTCCTGGACTCTACCCTCCTCTGAAAGAAGCTGGGGCTTGCTCTGAGGGTCTCCACTCCCATCTGCAGGCAGCCAGGAGGGCAGGAAGACCTTGCTCTGTGCTGCCATCCTGCCTCCTTCCTCCAGCCTCAGGGCCCTGGGGCCTGGGTGGGAGACAAGGCCTTCTCCTCTGGACTCAAATAAAACCCAGTAACCTCACTTCTTTTCTTTGCAAAAGGTGCTTGGGGGGCTGGGAGTGCAGACATTGGTGTTTCTTCTGATGTCCCTTCTAAGGAAAAAAAAAAAAACAACTCTCAAAATCAATTTTTTTTTTTTTTTTTGAGACAGTCTCTGTCACCCAGGCTGGAGTGCAGTGATCTTGGCTCAATGCAACCTCCACCTCCCAGGTTCAAGAGATTCTCCCACCTCAGCCTCCTGAGTGGCTGGGATTACAGGCACCCGCCATCATGCCTGTCTAATTTTTGTATTTTTAGTAGAGACAGGATTTCACCATGTTGGCCAGGCTGGTCTTGAACTCCTGACCTCAGGTGATCCACCCACCTTGCCTCCCAAAGTGCTGGGATTACAGGCGTGAGCCACCGAGCCCAGCCTTCAAAATGCTTTTTCTATTCTCTCACTCCACAACACCACAGAAGATGGCTGTGACCAAATGCGTGGGGGCTTTCCCCCACACACCAGACAAGCAGTTCTGCAGCCGACACCAGCTGGGTGCCCTCCCAAATTTAACTCTGGCACTATCTACCTGGAGATGGCATCAGATCCCACAGGCTGAGGACTCAGTCCCCTGTTCTGTCCCCTATTCCTATGCCAGTTCCAACTCCAGGCCTCTGGAGCTTCTGGCCTATTGGCTTCAAGATGAGGTTTCCACAACCCCCTCTTTGAGTTCAACTAATTTGCTAGAGTGGTTCATAGAGCTCAGAGAAACATTTGCCAGTTTATTATAAAGGATGTTACAAAGGATACAGATGAAGAGATGTGTAGGGCAAGGTATGGGGAATGGGCTCGGAGCTTCCATGCCCTTCATGGATGCATCACCAGCCAGGAACCTCCACGTGCTCAGCTATCCAGAAGCTCTCTGAACCCTGTCCTTTTGAGTTTCTGTGGATAATTCATTAGGTAGGCATGATTCATTAAGCCATTGGCCATTGGCGAACAACTTACCCTCCAAGCTGTCTGCTCTCCCTTGGCTGGGGGTGCGGGGTAGGGGGCTGAAATCCTGCCTTGGTCTCTCTGGTAACCAGTCCCTGTCCTGAAGCTACCCTAGGGGCTGCTAGCCATCAGTCAATCATTAGCACACAAGAAGACATCATTTTGGGAATTCTAAGATTTTAGAAATTGTACTGCAGGAAACGAGGTCAAAGACCAAATATATATTTCACAATATTACATCCCTCCTACAGAAGGCCAAATATACATCCCTACAACTTCCAGAGGTAAGAGAGCGCCGTCAATGGCATGGTGATGTAACCGCCCAAAGGGTTCACCTTGCCCAAGCCTAGACAGAGCTGATTTCTCAAGACCGGGGAATTCAATGAAGAGTAATGATGCAGAGGTGGCTGTGCAGGAGACTAGAGTTTTACTATTACTCAAATCAGTCCCCCCAAGCATTCGGGGAGCAGAATTTTTTTGTTTGTTTTTGTTTTTGTTTTTGTTTTTTTTTGAGACGGAGTCTCGCTCTGTCACCCAGGCTGGAGTGCAGTGGCGCGATCTCGGCTCACTGCAAGCTCCGCCTCCTGGGTTTGGCGCCCGCCACCACGCCCGGCTAATTTTTTTTTGTATTTTAGTAGAGACGGGGTTTCACTGTGTTAGCCAGGATGGTCTCGATCTCCTGACCTCGTGATCTACCCGTCTCGGCCTGCCAAAGTGCTGGGATTATAGGCTTGAGCCACCGCGCCCGGCCAGAGCAGAGTTTTTAAGGACAACTTGATGGATGGCGGGGAAGCCAGTGAGCCAGGAGTGCTGATTGGTCAGGACTGAAATCATAGGGAGTCGAAGCTGTCTCCTTGCCTTGAGTCAGTTCCTCGGTGGGAGCCACAAGTCCCAATGAGGCAATTTATGGATCTGGGTGGTGCCAGTTGATCTATCAAGTGGAGGATCTGCAAAGTATCTCAAGCGCTGATTTTAGGAGCAGTTTAGAGAGGGTCAGAATCTTGTAGCCTCCAGCTGCATGACTCCTAAACCACAATTTCTAATCTTGTGGCTAATGTTAGTCCATCCTACAAAGGCACTCTAGTCCTCAGGCAAGAAGGAAGTCTGCTTTGAGAAAGGGCTGTTACTGTCTTTGTTTTAGACTATAAACTAAAAACTAAGTTTCTCCCAAGGTTAGTTCAGCCTACACTCAGGAACGAAGAAGGACAATTTGGAGGTTAGAAGCAAGATGGAATGCTGTGGCATGAACCTGCTGTCCAGTTGGAGAGCGTCTCTTTCACTGTCTCAGTCATAATTTTGCAAAGGTGGTTTCAGTGACATCCCAGGTCTTCAGAACCATCATGAGAAAAGAGAACCAAGGAAAACTCGGCACGCAGACCACCTTGTGGCACACCTACTCCAGCTACTCCATGCTGTCTGCGCCCCTCCCAGAACACACGTCTCACTGGGTCTACACCTAATAGCTGTTCATTTTCCACACTCTGCCTTTGACCCCAGCTGGTATGGATGGGCCCTGGATTTCTGACCAGCCAGATTCAACATTTTGGTTCTCAGTCCTGCTTTCCCCAGAAATTCTTCTGGCTGAGCCTTTTCCTTAGTAAAGGAGCCCTGGACCCCACCTAGGTCTGGGAACTGGAGATCGGTGGCACCAGAACTTTCAGTTTCCTTTGTGAGTGTCTCTGATCTGGCCAAGCCCTGGGAGAGAGACAGAACATTCTAACCCCCATTTTTAGAAATATTTTTATTTTACACAAGAGCCACGTGTAGGAAGACAATCTAATCCCCCTTTGACAGATGCAGAAACCAAAACTTAGACAACAGAAGAGGTTCAGGCCAAGTCCCAGGCTGAGTCGTAGCAGGGCTGGGAGGGGATTCAGACTTAGGAGACCGGGGAGGCCAGCTGCTGGGGAAATGGAGGTGCCCGGGGCAGGCCCTGGCCACTCCAGCTTCCTCGGGAGCTGCACTCAGCCCGCTCCATCCTTCACCTGTTCCAGGACTTGCCTGAAGCCCCACCTTCCCTGGCCTTCACTCCGGAGAGAACCCCCAGACACCAGGAGGAAAGTCAGAGCCCAAGAAACCCACTAAGCTGTCAGTAGGACAGGGTGTGGAGCCGGGCCCCTGTGACATGGACGTGTGTTTTTCTGTGGGGTGATTAGAGAGGCCGCATCAGTTCTGGTGTGTGGGCCCCTTCGTGCTACTGTGGATCTGGGACCTTGTTCTCCACCTTGTTCTTTATGTGTATTGTGTGGTTTGGGTTGAATTGAGTGTCCATGGAGCCCTGTCTGCAAGGGGTGGGGCTTGGTATCCACAGCCCCCTGGGGAGTTCTGGGAGGAGAGGGTGGAGAGGAAAGTGCTGGGGAGTTGCAGAGGCTTCAAACTGGTCCAGCAACTTGGGAAATTGGGAGTAGGAGCCAAGAGGGAGAGGAGAGGACAAGTGGATGGACAGAGGAACAGTGTGGACACCGGCAGGCAGGCGGACTCAGTGCTGTGGCATGAACCTGCTGTCCAGTTGGAGAGCGGTGCTGCCCCTTGGCCCTCAGGGCAGGGCCTGGCCATGGGCACAGCCACCCAGAAGTAGGTAGGCCCTAGAGTGCTGGGGCTGGGGCAGCCCAGAGGGAATGGGGACCTCAGGCCTAGCCCTCACCAGCTGAGGAGCCTGAGCTCTTAGGGCCCCTCCCCATGTCCCCCCTGCCATCCTCAGGCCCTGCTGGGCTGGGCCTGCCAGGAGGGGAGAGAGTTTGGGCATAGGACTGCCTTCCTGGGCTGGGTGATGGGCAGTCACACTGGGCTTGGTGTATAGAAAGGCCCCATGCTCCATCTGATGCTCTTGCTATCTAAATTCTTTATACTTTTGGAATAAAAGCCTCACATTCTCACTTTGCACTGGGTCCCACAAATTATGTGACTGGGAGGGAAAGGGATCTGTGTCCTGACACAGGGTGCAGGCCAGGCTGGGCCAGCCTAGGCAGCTCCATCTGCAGAGGCCCATCTGCTGCCTGCCTCAGGGACCCTGAGGGGTGCAGGTGGTGGGGGCAAGGCAGCTCAGACCAACCTGAATTTTAGGATTGGTTTCTGCAACCTTGCTATCTGCATGGCTTGGGTCAAATCACATCTACTGAATCTGTTTCCTTTGCTGTTAAAGGGGTTAATACTGCCCAGCACAGGGGTTACTTGGGACAGTGCAAATCCATGTTTCTTGGCACAAGGCCATTCCTTAATAACGAGAATGACTATGATGATGATGATAATGATGAACTGGTTATCATTAAATGGGGAAGGGCCTCATACAGGGGGTTACATAATAAGTGCCTGTTTCCACTCCCTCTTTCTCCCCTCACCTGGGGCTTGGTAAACTTCTGGTCCTCACCCCCTCGACACTGGCCCTCTCTTGGGAAACAAGAACAGGTCCAGCACCCAGGTGCAGATGTGGGCAGGGAAGGGCACATGTGGCAGAGGCTTGGGTGGCTTTTACTGCCCTAGTGAGAGTTAATACATTACCTCTGCCCAGGCCCCCCTTTCGCAATCCGGAGCTGGGCGTCTGGTTACAGATTTACTTCGAACAATGCCTGATATGTGGAGTAAAGTCCTCCTCCTTGGCCTTTGTAAAGTCCTCCCCTCTTCTCCTCAGGAACTGCTCAAACCTGTGCCCCAAAGATGAGGGCCCACGAGGACCCCGAGGGCCCGACACAGGTGCTGGGGGCTGGGGGTGGGGGCTAGGTGGGGGCGGGGGGCGGTGGGGGGCTGGAGGGCCTGTGCAGGCCTTCTCCTGGGAGGCCAGAGATAAACATTCTGATGAACTTGATAAAGAGTGACTGTCCTAAACTGAATGTGGCAACTGGGGGATGGGTGGGGGTGGGGGTCAAGAAGCCTGCAGCTTTGGGACTGGCTGACTCTAGGTTGGGGTTCAGGAGAGGCCTAACCTCCCCGCCAGTGACACCCCAAAGATCTCCAGGGGGCAGAGGTGGGACCGGATTGGAGTTGTCCACTGTCTCGAGCCCTCTTGGCCCCCTCTCCTGTGGTCCCCAGACCTCTGACTTAGGGGTCCATTTCCCTGGCTAAAATGACAGGTCCTGAGGGCTCTAGAAGCCGGCACAATAGACTCATCCCTGTGGGAAGCAATGTGAAGTGGGAGACAACTGTGGCCAGGCCGAGTGGGAACCAGGTGGATGAACTGTTGGGGAGGGCAGGGACCCCACTCTCAGTTGCTGACAGGCCACTCGGGCTGCCTGATTGTTTTCGGGGCAGAATGGATTTTGCCTGTCCCCGTCACTCTACCCTAAGCTACTTATCTCTGCTGCCCCTAGCATGAATCCCCCAGGGACCCTCCGACCCCCCTACCCACAGAGCCTAAGTTTGACATGTTGTACAAGATCGAGGACGTGCCGCCTTGGTACCTGTGCATCCTGCTGGGCTTCCAGGTGGGTCCCCCAGGGCCTCCCTGCCCTCACTCTGCACACTCCGCGGTGACTCCAGCCTGTCCCTGGCCAGCAGGGAGTATCCTGGGTAACAAGAAGAAAAACCTGAGGTCAGCACATGGCTGTCAGCAGGCAGGGGTGGGGAAGAGACTGAGTCCTGAAAGAGGATGAACTCCCTGGGGGGCGTGTGACACTTGCCAGGTGGAGTGTTGGTGACAGGGTGCAGAGCCAACTCCATGGAAGCCACAGGAATAACTTGGGTGGAAATTAGTGACCCCCAGAGTGGTCAGCAGTAGCTCTCTGGGAACCCCTTGTGGGGACTGCCTTTCCTGGGCAGGCAGCCAGGTCAAGGCCTGCTGAGGCAGGCATGAGGACACTAGGCTGTCCCCTCTCCCTGGAGCTCTAGGGTCCTGCCTCATGCACTCTGCTCTCTCCCTCCGCCCAGCACTACCTGACATGCTTCAGTGGCACCATCGCCGTGCCCTTCCTGCTGGCTGAGGCGCTGTGTGTGGGCCACGACCAGCACATGGTTAGTCAGCTCATCGGCACCATCTTCACGTGCGTGGGCATCACCACTCTCATCCAGACCACCCTGGGCATCCGGTGAGCCGCCCAGCTCCCCCTCCCCCCCCACTATGATCCACACAGCAGGAGCAGGTGGGCTCCCAGAGGACACTGGTGAGACAAAAAAGCCACTATCTGCCTCCAACTGCTTCTCCTATCCCAGGCCAGCCTTAGAGCTGGGCAGCGCAGCCCTGACCCTGGGAACCTTGATCTAGGCACACTCAAAAACCAAGCATCTGCAAGTTTAAGGGAAGGGAATTAAGGGAAGGGAATGTACCCTCGCTGGCTCTCCCCCTTTTTTAATTTTTAATTTTTATTTTTGGAGACAGAGTTTCACTCTTGTTGCCTAGGCTGGAGTGCAGTGGCATAATCTTGGCTCACCACAACCTCCACCTCCTAGGTTCAAGCGATTCTTCTACCTCAGCCTCCCGAGTAACTGGGATTACAGGCACGCACCACCATGCCTGGCTAATTTTGCATTTGTATCCACCCGCCTTGGCCTCCCAAAGTGCTGGGATTACAGGCATGAACCACCAAGCCTGGCCAGCTCTCCGCTCTTAAGCCCCATTCTGAATACTGCCCAAATGGCAGCCCTGAGCTAGCTCCCAGGGCCGGTGCCAGCCTCTTCAACAGCCCACCCTCCCAGGGCCCCACGCTCCCGAGTGCACAGCCCTAGGCCTGGGTGGCATTTGAGCTGTTTGAGCGGTGGGGGGCAGGGGAAGATTGTGAGAGAAATCTGGATGTGGGAACTGAGCTGTCCACTTCCGGGCAGGTGCTCCCTCCTAACAGTGCAGGAGCTGGTGGTGGGAAGGAAAGGGGGCAGGTTTTGAGTTGGGGGCTCCATTTGTTTTCTTCCTTGGGCAGCCAAAATGTTACAGTTGGTCTTCCCTGGGGCCTCAGCGACTTTCATCTGCCCTTATCCCTCGTGTCTCTGTCATTCTCTCTGTGCTCTCCTTTCCTGATCTCTCCCCATGTCTATATCCCTCCTCCCCCACATCTATATCCTTCCTCCCCAACCTGTTGCTCTGTGCCTCTCCTTCAGGCTGCCGCTGTTTCAGGCCAGTGCCTTTGCATTTCTGGTTCCAGCCAAAGCCATACTGGCTCTGGAGAGATGGAAATGCCCCTCGGAAGGTGGGTACACTTCTGGGGTCCACACTGGGGAAAAGGGAAGGCCCAGAGACCTGGAGGTCTGAGCAACTGTCCCGGGTCCAGACACCAGGGTGCAGTCATGGCAGCATCTTCTCTCCCTCTCTTGTCTCTGTACCTGGTCCATGTGTGTGTCCCTGACTCTACCCCCAGAGGAGATCTACGGTAACTGGAGTCTGCCCCTGAATACCTCTCATATCTGGCACCCACGGATACGGGAGGTGGGTTTGCACATAAGGGTAGAAGCTGGGTCCTGAGGAGGGGCTATATGGGAGTGAGGGTGGCCGCTGAGTTTGGGGATTTAAGGAGGTGGTCCAGGAGCTTTGTTCCTGCTAACAGTAGCCAGGTCACGACCTTTACATGGTGACTTACAGCTGATGTTTGCCCTTCCAGGTCCAGGGTGCAATCATGGTGTCCAGCGTGGTGGAGGTGGTGATTGGCCTGCTGGGGCTGCCTGGGGCCCTGCTAAACTACATTGGGCCTCTCACAGTCACCCCCACTGTCTCCCTCATTGGCCTCTCTGTCTTCCAAGCTGCTGGCGACCGAGCTGGCTCCCACTGGGGCATCTCAGCTTGGTGAGCAGGCACCAGACCTGATCCCTGCCCAGCCCCAGCACCCCACCCTCTTCATGTCCTTCATCCTTCTTCCCGGATCCTGGCCCCAGCCTGGCCTCCCGTCCACTTCCTGATTGTGCCTCTGCCCCCAGCTCCATTCTCCTGATCATCCTCTTCTCCCAGTACCTGCGCAACCTCACCTTCCTGCTGCCTGTCTACCGCTGGGGCAAGGGCCTCACTCTTCTTCGCATCCAGATCTTCAAAATGTTTCCTGTGAGGACCTGGCAGGCGGCTGGGGCTGGGACTATGGCCAGGGCTTGGGCTGAGGTGGGAGCAGGTTAGCCTGGACAGAGACCTCCAGTGCCTTCAGTGCCCCCCCACCCCCCTGCTTCAGATCGTGCTGGCCATCATGACCGTGTGGCTGCTCTGCTATGTCCTGACCTTGACAGACGTGCTGCCCACAGACCCGAAAGCCTATGGCTTCCAGGCACGAACCGATGCCCGTGGTGACATCATGGCTATTGCGCCCTGGATCCGCATCCCCTACCCCTGTGAGCAACATCCCTTGGGCCCCTCTGTCCCCAACTGAGACCACCTATGAGACAATCCTGGTGACCCCAGTCCAGCAGGTGACACGCCTAGCATTAGCCGCACATTTATAGTGTGCCCAGCAGAGCAGTGTTTTACTTAGACAAAGCTTCAGTCCCACTTCCTGGCTCTGAGTGACCCAAATAAGCTCCCACAACTGTATAGCTCCCATCCCAGCCTGAGGTCTCCTTACCTGCTCTTGCTCCTTCCAGCACTGCCCTGTCTATTCCTAACCATCACAGTCTGCTCACTGTAGCCAACCATCCTGTCTCCCTCCGGCACAGGTCAGTGGGGCCTGCCCACAGTGACTGCAGCTGCCGTCCTGGGAATGTTCAGCGCCACTCTGGCAGGAATCATTGAGTCCATTGGAGATTACTACGCCTGTGCGCGCCTGGCTGGTGCGCCACCCCCTCCAATACATGCTATCAACAGGTAGCCTACCTGCCCTCCTCAGTATCTGATCTCCTCAGGGGTCCTCCAGGAAGCACACACACAGGAACGGGGTGGAGGCCCAGGGGCTAGGCTTAGGCAAGTCGGGAACACGCTCCAGACCTCATTCTCCTTGCTTGTGCGATGGGGGTGCCCTCTTATCACCCCTCTGTGGTTGCTGGGAGTAGCTGAGAAGACGGCGGAGTCGGAGGGGAACCACCATCATTGACAGCCCTCGATGTGCCCGGCTCTGGCTGTGCATTCTTATGCAATCTGTGAAGCATTTTGTGAGACGGGCACCGGTATTTATCCCAGGAGGAAATTGAAGGCCAGAATTGCCCACAGAATTTAAGTGCCAGGGCACTGGGACTAGCTTTGGAGCCTGAGCACTCTGGCCTGGAGTAGGGAGTGCTACAGCTGTTAGCTGCAGCCCCCACAGCGCCAGAGGACGGCGGACCGCTAAGATGATGGGGAACACAGGCTGGTGCAGAGGCTGGACCGAGCCCCAACTCGCCCTTTCCTTACAGGGGCATCTTCACCGAAGGCATTTGCTGCATCATCGCGGGGCTGTTGGGCACGGGCAACGGGTCCACCTCTTCCAGTCCCAACATTGGCGTCCTGGGGATTACCAAGGTGTCGCGACGAGCCGGAGCCAAGTCCCGATCTAATTCTGTGGGCCGTAGCCCCGCCCCAACCCCGTCCCCACTTTGGTTTAGCCCCACCCTGTCTTTGAGAGGCCTCGCCTCCGCATCAAGCCCCAGCAGGTTTATGCCTCGCTCTTATAACGGGCCCCGCCCCTGGAACTAACCCCGCCCCAGCCTCGTCCCCTGGTCTAGCTCCTCCGCTGGCTCCCCGGCAGGTGGGCAGCCGGCGCGTGGTGCAGTATGGTGCGGCTATCATGCTGGTCCTGGGCACCATCGGCAAGTTCACGGCCCTCTTCGCCTCGCTCCCTGACCCCATCCTGGGAGGCATGTTCTGCACTCTGTTTGGTGAGTGTCTGGCGCGGGCCACGGGTCGCGGTGCAGGTCACCGAGTGGTGGGACCCACCTGGATTGCGCGTGCGCGACGCCTCCAGTGGTTCTCTTGCGCCCTTAGGCATGATTACAGCTGTGGGGCTGTCCAACCTGCAATTTGTGGACATGAACTCCTCTCGCAACCTCTTCGTGCTCGGATTTTCCATGTTCTTCGGGCTCACGCTGCCCAATTACCTGGAGTCCAACCCTGGAGCCATCAATACAGGTGCCTCCAGCTGTTTACTGTCTCCAAAGGTGGGGTGGGCCCAAAACTTTGAGCACAGCCCCCTCCCTCAAAGGCTCCACACAGCTACAGCCACAAATCCTACCCAACTCTGGGTGTCGATCAGCAGCTGAGAGCCTGGGTCACAGCTGTCCTTTACTAAGACACTTCCTGTGGACAGATATTGACCTTTACATGTGCTTATTTTTCAAAACAGCTCCATAGATCTATTTATCTATATTTATCATTTGTCCATTATCATTTCAACTTTCCAGATGAGCAACATGAGGCTCAGAGAGGCTCAGTGATTTGTCCCAGGTGAACAACTAGCAACTGGCAGAATTGGGATTTGAACCCAGAGATAGGAAAGACAGAGATAGGTTTGAGACAGGGCTTTGTACTGTTCCTTTGCCATGGCTACACAAGAGGAAGTCCCTCAACTCTGCTCTCCGAATTGGGCCATGACACCCATTGGCCCTTGGCCTATTCCACAGGCATTCTTGAAGTGGATCAGATTCTGACTGTGCTGCTGACCACGGAGATGTTTGTGGGCGGGTGCCTTGCTTTCATACTTGACAACACAGTGCCAGGTATGGTTCAGTCCTGGGAGGGGAATGAAGAACTAAGCAGGACTCATGCATTCCAACAGATGGCCTCTAAGCTGGAGCTGTGGCTAGGTACCATGCGATGCAGTCCCTGCAGGGAGCATCAGGAACAGATAGGCTGGCGGAGTTCTCACTGGCTGGAGGGAGAGAATGAGGCACAGACATGCCTCAGAAGTCTTGAAGAGGATTGGGCCAGGAGAGTCACTGCTGGGTCCTGTGAATCCTTTTCTTTCCATTTGTTCCATTTTCTTTCTTTTTCTTTTTCTTTTTTTTTTTTTTTTTTGAGATGGAGTCTCACCCTGTCACCCAGGCTGGAGTGCAGTGGTACAATCTCAGTTCACTGCAACCTCCACCTCTGGGGTTCAAGTAATTCTCCTGCCTCAGCCTCCCGAGTAGCTGGGACTACAGGTGCCTGCCACCATGCCCAGGTAATTTTCATATTTTTAGTAGAGATGGGGGTTTCACCATGTTGGGCAGGTTGGTCTTGAAGTCCTGACCTCAAGTAATCCACCAGCTGGGATTACAGGCGTGAGCCACTGCACCTGGCCTCCTCTCCATTTCTTAATAGCCACTGGGCTAAGGGATGTCTTTGCTTTTTCAGAGTAGGACAGAGATAAATGCAGCATCAGTTTGTTGGCAAAATCCATCCACTCCAAATATGTCAGCAGCCTGCCACAATGGCAACTAGAAGAGCCACTAACATTTCCCTTTGGTACCAGAGCTTTTTGCAAAGATTGTGGAGGATACTTTGTGGGGCCCACATAAAGGTGCCAGTAAATATATAAAATAAATGTCATCAGGTGCTCTGATAACAAACAGTTAACATTTACCAAACATCTACTATAGGTCAGGCAGAGCTAAGTGTCTTACTTCATCCTCAAAAACCACAGTCATAAAGTCACAAAATTAAACATTGAAGCCAGGTGTGGTGGCTCATGCCTGTAATCCCATCACTTTGGGAGGCTGAGGTGGGCAGATCACGAGGTCAGGGGTTCGAGACCACCTAGCCAACATGGTAAAACCCTGTCTCTACTAAAAATGTAAAAATTAGCTGGGTGTGGTGGTGGGTGCCTGTAATCCCAGCTACTCAGGAGGCTGAGGCAGGAAAATTGCTTGAATCTGGGAGGCAAAGGTTGAGTGAGCCGAGATCGTGCCATTGCACTCTAGCCTGGGTGACAGGGTGAGACTCCATCTCAAAAAAAAAAAAAAAAAAAAAAAATTAAAACATCGCAAATCTGGGATATATATTTTAATTGAGACAGGGTCTCGGACTATCACCCAGACCAGAGTGCAGTGGCGCAATCATAGCTCACTACAGCCTCAAACTCCTGGGCTTAAGTGACCCTCCTGCCTCAGCCTCCCAAGTAATTGGGATTACCAGTGCACAGGTGCATGCCACCATGCCCGGCTAATTTTTGAATTTTTTGTAGAGATGGGGTCTCACTTTATTGCCAAGATTGGTTTCGAACTCCTGGGCTCAAGTGATCCTCCCATCTCAGCCTTCCAAAGTACTGGGATTATAGGTGTGAGCCACACGTGGCCTCTATTTTTTTTTTTTTTTTTTTTTTGAGACGGAGTCTTGCTCTTGTCACCCAGGCTGGAGCACAATGGCATGATCTCAGCTCACTGCCACCTCCACCTCCTGAGCTCAAGCGATTCTCTTGTCTCAGCCTCCCAAGTAGCTGGGATTACAGGCGCACACCACCACGCCCAGCTAATTTTTGTATTTTTAGTAGAGACAGGCTTTCACCACATTGGCCAGGGTAGTTTCAAACTCCTGACCTCAGGTGATCCGCCCACCTTGGCCTCCCAAATCCTAGTCACCTTGGCTAGGATTACAGGCATGAGCCACCACGCCTGGCCTCTATTTTTAAATTGAGATGGGGGTCTATGTTGCCCAGGCTAGAGTGCAGTGGTTATTCACAGGTGTGATCATAGCATACTACAGCCTCAAACTCCTGGACTCAAGCAGTCCTTCTGCCTCAGCCACCTGAGGAGCTGAGAGTACAAGTGCATGCTATATACCATCTCACTAAATCTGGGATTTTTAACAACATCCATCTGACACAGTCAATAGCCTGTGTCCCATCCAATGCACCATACTGCCTCTGCTGGAGGGCTTCAGGGGACCTGGGCTGCAGGACTGGGGAAGGCTCCATGGAGACGGGAGTTAATGATTGCATCAGTATAGGGACATAAGGGATGGTAGCAACAAGAAGATGGGCCTCCATCCCCAGTCACTTATCGGCCTGATCACAGCCACAGGTCCTGTCTTCCTCCCTCTGTCTGAAAATCGAAGTGTTTATATTCATATAACATAGGTGTCAGAGGCTGTCTCTGCACAGCTGGTGGTTTGGGGTTGGGGAGGACAGAGGAGGGCCAGGGTTCCCCATAGGATTTTAGGCAGAATCAGAGGGTGCTCTTGGTAGCAGCTGTCCCTTCAATGGATGGGTGGGTATTTGAACATGGTACTCACCCCTCCCCATTTAAGAGGATGCTAGATTGGGGCTGGAACAGACCATCCTATGGGCCTGAGACAGTCAAGTGGCAGCCTCAGTGCCTAGGGGATATGAGGAGATGGAGAGCATCTGGGTAGGCGTCTGTACATGAAGAGGCTTCTTTGTGACTTGGGTGGCTAGATTAAGCTATCCTTAACGACAGCTGTAGAACCGCCTGAGTCCCTTATACCCCACCTTTCAACCCACCTGAGCATCACAACTGTCATCCTGTGTGTCATGCCACATAAGCTCAGCAGTCTTCAGTATACACTGAGGAACCTAAAGCTCAGGGAGGTTAAGTCACTTGCCTAAGGTCACACAATCTGGATTCAAACTAAGGTCTAGCTGGCTCAAAACCCTGTCCTTAACCATGGAATAGCAAAAGCCTTTTCCAGCCCTTAACTTCCTGCTGGGGATGGGTCACTTTGCACTTGCTTTTTTTTTTTTTTTTTGAGACAGTCTCGCTCTGTCGCCCAGGTTGGAGCGCAGTGGCGTGATCTTGGCTCCGCTTCCTGGGTTCACGCCATTCTCCTGCCTCAGCCTCCCAAGTAGCTGGGACTACAGGCGCCGGTCACCACGCCTGGCTAATTTTTTTGTATTTTTAGTAGAGACAGGGTGTTCTTTGTCTTTACCTATCCATAGCCCAAACTAGAAGGCAGTCTGTTTAGTTCAGCACATGCTACTAGAGCTTACCAGCTTGGCCCTGAATCAGACACTGAGGAGGATATGCCAAAAAGTGTTAAGTCAGTAACAATTTGTGTAGAGGAGCTCCTGGCACAAGATAGGTGGTAAAACTAGATTTAAGCAAGCAATGAAATCAATGAAGCTGGGCTGGAGTTATTGGGAGGGTTTATCGATGAGGGAGAGTGGGTGAGGCCTAGGAAAAAGGAGGGGGCTTGGAGAGTAGAGAAGGCACTGAAGGTTGGGATGTAGTGGGCAGGCTGGCTGGTCTGCTAGACGGAGCTCTGGGCTGGCTGCCACGTATGTCTTGGCAGTGGTGTGAGGTAATCAGACACCAGGAACATAGTCCTACACCACACCTACGGCTCATCCCACTCTACTCTGCCCACTGTGTGTGCCCTTTGTACAGCCAAGCCCAATCAAACAGTGTCTCTTCCAGACTGTGTGTGCCCTTTGTAGAGCCAAGCCCAATCAAACAGTGTCTCTTTCAGGTAGTCTTCCCTGGGGACTTCACCTTCCCTCAGTGCCCTCTCCTGTGAGATTTTGGAACATAACTTGGTTTGTGCTACTCATGGGTTTGTTCTCAGCCTGGGTGGCCAGCAAGTGGAAATCCCCACTCCTTCTGCTAGATTTATAGTATTTCAGTCTTTGTCGATCCCAGCCCTCTTGTGAAAACCTGAGATCTCATGTGACGCTCCTCCACCTGAGGGAAAATTCCTAGTTGTAAAAATTACTAGCCAGGCGCAGTGGCTCACGCCTATAATCCCAGAACTTTGCGAGGCCAAGGCGGACTGATCACTTGAGGTCAGGAGTTTGAGACCAGCGCCTGGCCAACATGCTGAAACCCCATCTCTATTAAAAATAGAGTAATTAGCCAGGAACGATGGCTCACACCTGTAATCCCAGCTACTTGGGAGGCTGAGGCTGCAGTGAGCCGAGATCAACCCACTGCGCTCCATCCTGGGCAACAGAGCAATACTCTGTCTCAAAAAAAAAAAAAAAAAAAAATTATTTGGTGTATCCCTACCTCCATCAAAGATTTTATTTAGCTTGACTTTCTGAAGTTTGTATTATAAAAATGAGTTTTTCACATATGGAATCATAATACGAAATGTTAATACTGATTATAGTGTTTCAAAATATGCCTGCCTTACCCCTAGAACACAATCTGGGCCTGATTTGGTTCCCATGGGCCTAACACACATTACCCACACACTCACAGAGGTTGACAATAATATTTTTGTCCCTTTCTTCATCTTAAAAGTTTGTATAGGCCGGGCACAGTAACTCATGCTTATAATGCCAGCACTTTTGGGAGGCCAAGCCGGGTGGATCACAAGGTCAGGAGTTCAAGACCAGCCTGACCAACATAGTGACATCCCGTCTCTACTAAAAATACAAAAATTAGCTGGGCGTGATGGTGCATGCCTGTAATCCCAGCTACTAAGGAGGCTGAGGCAGGATAATCGCTTGAACCCGGGAGGAGGAGGTTGCAGTGAGCCGAGATCGCGCCAATGCACTCCAGCCTGGGGAACAGAGCAAGACTCTCTCTCAAAAAAATAAATAAATAAAATAAAAATTTGTACAATGGTGTCTATACACCTCCCAGGGGTATGTTTTGAAGAAACAATATAATGAAATTAAAGCACTTAGCACACAGCCTGGCACACTGTAGTTATACAATAAATACTAATTATAACTAGTATCCTTTAGTGTTCCTTAGAGCTCTGGCCAAATTAGGAGCTCAGAAACCATAGATTCAGCCACTTTTTAGGACCAAATGATAGTTAAGAAAGATACTTGATTCCAGAAGTCTGCCTTAGGAGTGCGTTACGGAAAGTGGGGGCGGCTGAGGGTTGCTGGCCTTGGTAAATGACCCCACTGTCCTCTTCCAGGGAGCCCAGAGGAGCGTGGTCTGATACAGTGGAAAGCTGGGGCTCATGCCAACAGTGACACGTCTTCCAGCCTCAAGAGCTACGATTTCCCCATTGGGATGGGCATAGTAAAAAGAATTGCCTTTCTGAAATACATTCCTATCTGTCCAGTCTTCAAAGGATTTTCTTCAAGTTCAAAAGATCAGTTTGCAATTCCAGAAGACTCTCCAGAAAATACAGAAACTGCATCTGTGTGCACCAAGGTCTGAAAAATAACTTCCAGGAAAGGTAGGATGTGTCTATGGTTTTTGTGGGAGGGCTGAATAATCAAAACATTCTTGGCCGGGTGCAGTGGCTCATGCCTGTAATCTCAGCACTTTGGGAGGCCGAGGCGGGCGGATCACGAGGTCAGGAGATTGAGACCATCATGGCTAACATGGGTGAAACACCGTCTCCTACTAAAAATACAAAAAAAAATTAGCTGGGCGTGGTGGCGGGCGCCTGTAGTTCCCAGCGACTCGGGAGGCTGAGGCGGGAGAATGGCGTGACCCCGGGAGAGGGAAGCTTGCAGTGAGGCCAATATCTGCATTTGCGATCTCCAGCCTCGAGCGACAGAGCGAGACTGTCCGTCTCAAAAACAAAACAAAACAAAACAAAAAAATTTTTTTTTTTTTTTTTGAGACGGAGTTCGCTTGTCGCCAAAGGCTGGAGTTGCAGGTGGGGCCAGATCTCCACCTCACTGCAAGACTCTTGACTCCCAGGTTCAGCGCCTTTTTTATGTCCTTTCCTCAGCTCCGAGTGCCGGGACTCAGGCGCCCGCTACCAACGCCCGGCTATAATTTTGTATTTTTTTAGGTAGAGACGTTGGGTGATTCAAACCGTGTTAGCAGATGGTCCCTTGATCTCCTGACCTCGTGATCCGCCCGTCTCGGCCTCCCAAAGTGCTGGGATTACAGGCTTGAGCCACCGCGCCCGGCCAACAAAAAAATTCTTACGCTTTAACCAAAGAGAAACCAAACTACTCAGTTATCTTTCCTGTAAACTGTTTGAATGTCCTCAAAGAGAAGGTGAGCTGGGTAAAAAGTAAATATACGGATTTTGGGTGGAATTCCTTTACCATTTCATAGTAAGAGCAGAACTTCCCAACTAGTGTGGGCCACTAAGAGGCTACAAGTATGCTGAAATGCAGATCCTCTAGCCTTCCAGACACCTGGGCAGAATCTGGGCCAATTAGAGTCTTTGAGCTAAGAACCCCAGCCATGGGCAGCCTCATTCTTGTACTTCAGTATGCTAGACAAGTATCACTTTGATATGCGACATGGAAAATGCTGAGAAATACAGCACAAGAACAGGAAAAATCTTCTCATATACACTGCTTTGTTTCAATAACGTCATAAAATTAAAACTACCTAAAACAGGATGCCTTTATCCTAAAAGAACACCTGTACAAGCCCTAATGAAGTGATCCTTTGTCCTTAGGGCTTCAGAATGCATGGGCAGCTGATGCTCGGAAACCTTCCATCACTATATGTAATGCAGATGCCTGGCTCTCTACTAAACACTGAAGTGGGTTCAATGTGCACATTCCCCCAGACAGACAAGAAAAGTTCCCAAAAAGAGAGGTTACCCTAGATGACTCCTTAATAGTAAAAATAACAACACTTAAAACAGGGCTTTCTATGTCTTAAGTGCTTACATATATTAACTACTCACATAGTCCAGAGACAGTTATTACTGCCATTTTAGAGATGTGGAAAGGAAGGTACAGAAAGGTTAAGTGACATGCCCACGATCATAGGATTCACATCCAGGAAGTCTGGTTAGAGCCCCCACCCCCCCGCCTTTTATTTTTCTTGAGACAGAGTCTTGTTCTGTCGCCCAGGCTGGAGTGCAGTGGCGCCTTCTTGGCTCACTGCAACCTCCATCTCCTGGGTTCAAGCAATTCTCTTGCCTCAGCCTCCTGAGTAGCTGGGATTACAGCTGCGTACCACCACGCCCAGCTAATTTTTGTATTTTTAGTAGAGACAGGGTTTCACCATGTTGGCCAGGCTGGTCTCAAACTCCTGACCTCAAATGATTCACCTGCCTTGGCCTCCCAAAGTGCTGGGATTACAGGTTTGAGCCACTGCGCCCAACCTAGAGCCCCCTTTTCTTTTTTTCCCAACAAAAGCCACATTCGAGAACTTTTACTCTTACCGGCGATCACCTGAGGTCAGGAGTTCGAGTCCAGCCTGGCCAACATGGCAAAACCCCATCTCTACTAAAAAAATACAAAAATTAGCCAGGCGTGGTGGTAGGCGCCTGTAATCCCCAGCTACTCCAGAGCCTGAGGCAGGAGAATCGATTGAACCCAGGAGGCAGAGGTTGCATTGAACCGAGATTGCACGACTGCACTCCAGCCTGGGTGAAAGAGTGAGACTCTGTCTCAAAAATAAATAAATTAATTAATAAAGAAAGAAAGGCTGGGTGTGGAGGCTCACGCCTGTAATCCCAGCACTCTGGGAGGCCAAGGCAGGTGGATAACCTCAACTCAGGAGTTCAAGACCAGCCTGGCTAACATGGTGAAACTTGGTCTCTACTGAAAATACAAAAATTAGCCAGGTGTGGTGGCAGACACCTGTAATCCTAGCTATTTGGGAGGCTGAAGCAGGAGAATCATTTGAACCTGGGAGGTGAAGGTTGCAGTGAGCTGAGATCGCGCCACTATACTCCAGGCTGGGCAATAGAGCAAGACTGGCCGGGCGCGGTGGCTCAAGCCTGTAATCCCAACACTTTGGGAGGCCGAGATGGGCGGATCACGAGGTCAGCAGATCGAGACCATCCTGACTAACCCAGTGAAACCCCGTCTCTACTAAAAAATACAAAAAACTAGCCGGGCGAGGTGGCGGGCGCCTGTAGTCCCAGCTACTCAGGAGGCTGAGGCAGGAGAATGGCGTAGACCCGGGAGGCGGAGCTTGCAGTGAGCTGAGATCCGGTCTCAAAAAAAAAAAAAAAAAAAAATAGAGCAAGACTTCGTCTCCAAAAACCAACCAACCAACCAACCAACCAACCACACACTGGGGTACACGTGCCCACACCAAAGAACCTCCCCCTACTCCCAGAAGAATGTGAGTCAGAACTGACTATATGGCTTTCTTAATCTTTTTCAACCTAACAAGCTCAAGAAAAGCCCTTGTGAAGAACAAAAAACAATAGAGGTTCTATTAGAGTAAGGTCACCATCATATTGGTCAGCCATAAAGTTTGTTACATGACTATCTAGGATTCCACTGACACTGAAGTCTGAGGTGATTAAGAAGCAAGGAGGGGCAATGGGGTTATTCTATTGCTGTATTCTGGACAGATACTTGCATAACAACATACCTGTTAGTTAGAATCTAACAAAGCCTGAAATCTTAGCATATTTTGCCAGCAAGATTGTCCTGAGGCACTGGGCCCATACTCAAGTGAGTAACACCACTACAGTACATTCTAGCACCAATAAACACAACCATCTGCTCAGTTCTACTATTATTTATTTTTTTAAATATTTTTGAAAAAATATAATTTTTTTACAATATTTTCAACTTAAACACTATTCACACTGAACACGTATGGCAGCTTAACCTACCCAAATATGAAGTTTAAGAAGCCAAAACTGTTCTAGCTTTGTTAAAAGAAAAGTTGTGCTGCAGACTCTTGTGATGGTTAACAAAGCAAGGAAAAGCACCACTCAAATCATAATGTTACAGTATCTTTGTTCAGCTGGATTATGGGTTGGCATTGGTCATATGTTAAGACTCTATACAGGCATAGCTATGATGCAGTGAATCCCTTAGAAGTTACAATTCTCAAATTACATACTTCCTCAGATGTAACATTATAACTCAGTATTTCTAACACAATAACGTACCAGAAAAGCCTGGAATGGCACTCATCTGCTGACTACCTTGTAGACTCAGTAATATGACATACTCGTCTATAACAAATTATCTCTGACTGACTAATAGACCTTCAGAAAATGGAGATTCTTTTTGATGGGGACATAATCCAATTTAAGTCTGAGAAATATGCTTAACAGTAGGAACTCAAATTAAATTTACTGATTTTAAAGTTTAGACATTAACAAGTGTTAGTTAACCCTAAGGGACCAGTTTAGCCTCAAAAAAAGACAATTTAGTAAGGTTTAGGTCTTTTAATTTGGTGCTTGTTCACAACTTGACTGGTGCTTCTTTCCTTGCTGTCTTCACATCAAGCCATGGGGCCAATTCTATTTTCAGTAAGTGTTTGACAGCTTTTTACTTAATAACAGTCTCAGCACTTTTATTAAGCATGCAGGACTAACAAAAACTTTGGCAATGCATAAGTGTAACACAGTGACGAGAGAGCTTTTACAATTAAGTCTTCTAATACTGCCTTCACAGTGTGGAAATTGTGCTACATCCACCAAAAGAGGGCCCCGTCTACTCAAATATTTCAGTACTTCACCCCAGGAACAAACTCCTTTGCATTTGGATTCAGATTGCTCTTGACCTGGAAAATAAGCACATAAAAAAGCAAGTTCATTAACATAGTTTCAGGTACTAATTCAACCTAGATCCTCATGCAAAAACATCTTCCAAACAAAAAAGACGAAAGGGCTGAGTGTGGCGGCTCACGCCTGTAATTCCAGCACTTTGGGAGGCCAAGAGGCGGATCACGAGGCCAGAATCAAGACCATCCTGGCTAACACGGTGAAACCCCATCTTTATTAAAAATACAAAAAATTAGCCGGGCATGGTGGCGAGTGCCTATAGTCCCAGCTACTTGGGAGGCTAAGGCAGGAGAATGGCATGAACCCGGGAGGCGGAGCTTGCAGTGAGCCGAGATAGCGCCACTGCACTCCAGCCTGGGCAACAGAGTGAGACTCTCTCAAAAAAAAAAAAAAAAAAAAAAAAAAAGATAAAAGAACTCAGTCTGTAAGACTATACTTAACCCCAAAAAAACCCAAAAAGGAGGAACCAGATGTAAGCTATACATCATATCAAATTACATCAATTTTTTCTTTTTTCTTTTTTTTGTGATGGAGTCTCGCTCCGTAGCCCAGGCTGGAGTGCAGTGGCATGATCTAGGCTCACTGCAACCTCCGCCACCTGGGTTCAAGTGATTCTCCTGCCTCAGCCTCCCGAGTAGGTGGGACTACAGGCGCGTGCCACCACACCCCGCTAATTTTTTGTATTTTTAGTAGAGATGGGGTTTCACTGTGTTAGCCAGGATGGTATTGATCTCCTGACCTCGTGATCTGCCTGCCTCGGCCTCCCAAAATGCTGGGATTATAGGCATGAACACCGTGCCGGGCCTAAATTACATCAATTTTCTAAAGAGAAAGTAGGAATTGAAATTCAGTTTGCTTAAGTGTAACCAGAAATCCAGTAACTTCACATAAATTAAAGGAATAGCACTGAACAAGGAATTCTGTTAATCAAACTATGGTATGTAGCTTTCTTTAAAGACTAAACACCAAGGAAACATGTTAAACAAGTGTTGAAATTATGATTAAAGTAACTGGGGAATTGTTGATGGATTAATTTTACTTTAGAATCCTCGCTAAAAATGTGGAGTTATTTTTCTACAATTGCCGTCTTCTAATTCCCACAGGAAGCATGGTATACAACAGGAAAAGAAAATGACATGGGGAACCAGAAGACCTAAGTCTGAAATCTCAGCCCTGCCCCTAACTAACTTCTATGTAAACTCAGATAAGTCATCTTTCTCTGGGATTCAATTTTTTGCATCAGTTAAAAAAAAAACGCCGCGGGTGGGGGGAGATGGGCCAAAGTCTGAGTCTTAGAGACTCGTACCAATGTTATGCTATGTCTCTAAATCTTTACTCTCCTAAGCAGACCTGTCAGCATCTAGGAAGAACAGCTAGAAATTTTCCTCTGTGGTATTTTAGACAGCAAGTTGATAAAAATAAAAAGAAATGAGGACAGGTTCCAGGGCCTGAAATGTAGGTATGCTGGAAGGCTTTTACATTGAATTTGACCCTACATCACTTCAAGACTAATGCATAATATTAAACATCATGTTGAAGAAATAATTTTAGTTTCGTAATTTATACATAGCAGTTTCTTTGGACAGGATATATTCTCCCTTCCAGCAAGGGAAATAATGTATCTATACTTTAAAAGTATGAAGTTTAAGGAAAAAAAGCAGCATTCCTGTTCTCTTTGAGACAGGGACTCGCTCTGTTGCTCAGACTGGAGGGCAGTGGCACAATCACAGCTCACTGCAGCATCGGCCTCCTGGGCTCAAATGATCCTCTAGCCTCTGTCTCCCGAGTACCTGGGACCACAGGCCGGTGCCACCATACTCAGCTAACTTAAACTTTTTGTAGAAATAGGGTCTCCCTTTGTTGCCCTGGCTAGTCTCGAACTCCAAAGTGATCCTCTCACTTTGGCCTCCCAAGGTGATGGGATTACAGGCATGAGCCACCATATCCAGGCACAGTGTTCTTAAATGAACTATCTTTCGGGAGCGACAGAAGAATAAGAATGAAACAAAGTAGTATCACATAGACTGAGAAGAACAAACCAGCTTCTGTACTATGGAATTATACTGGGTCCAGATTAAAGCTATATATTATGCTCAGCCAAGAGTGTTACTCTGCAGGGTAACTGGGATTATTTACGGTGACTAATGTAGCCATAAGTCATCATACCCCACAGACTATTCAGATCATACGGCTGCTCAAATGGGTTACCATCACTTACTGCAACAAAGGCTATACCACAATGTAAACTTCAGTGCTCTCTACACCATCCCTTAGAAGAATGTTTTCCAAATGCCCAACTCAGGCAGGTTGGCTGTATAATAAATCCTCTGTAGTCCTTTTAAAAAATTAACATGCTCAGACAACTGAGCATGTTGGGATGCAACTAAAGAACTGGTTTTTGTATTTAATGCTTCATAGGTAATTACAGTGTACAGATTAGTTCAGTGGACCCAGCCAGTTCTCACTAGTGCTGATGTTTAGTTGTAACAATTTTCCCCGCTTCCCCAATTTTTCTTTTTTTTTTCTTTTTTTTGAGAAGTCTCACTCTGTCTCCCAGGCTGGAGTGTAACAACACCATCCTGGCTCACTGCAACCTCCACTCCCCGGATTCATGCGATTCTCCTGCCTTAGCCTCCCGAGTAGCTGGGATTACAGGCATGTGCCACCAGGCCCAGCTAATTTTTGTATTTTTAGTAGAGATGGGGTTTCACCATGTTGGTCAGGCTGGTCTCGAACTCTTGACCTTGTGATCCACGTGCCTCAGCCTCCCAAAGTGTTGGGATTACAGGCATGAGCCACTGAGCCCAGCCAAAACAAGATTAAAGAGCAAAACTTCTCCATCAAGCTACTTTTGTATAGGCAAGTAACATGATAATATTGTGTGTGTTTTTAAATTATTAATTCTTTAGGACATTTAAGTACCCTAGGGCAACATCAGGACTAAAAGCAGGGGCTAGAAGTCCATTTAAGACTAGCTCCACAGTGTTGCCAGAAGTGATTCCATGTCATGAGACTCTGCTTCCATCATAAAAAGCAGCACAATTTCTTTTTCCTTTTTATTTTTGAGACGGCGAGTTTTCACTCGTCGCAAGCCCAGGCTCGGGAGTGTAGGGCCGCGACCCGTTTCTGATCACTGCAACCTCGCCTTCGCAGGTGAAAGCAATTCCTCCCTTCCGCAGCCTCCCAGTACTGGAACTACGAGGTGCCTGCCATCCTTGGTCGCAGCCTAATTTTTTGTATTTTTTTTCTTTTTTTTGAGCACAGAGTCAGTTCGTTGTATGTCCATAGCTGGATTGTTGCGTAAGTGGGCAATCTTAACCACCACTGCAACCTCCCCGCCTTCCAGTCAATGTAATCCGCGCCCCAGCCTCTCCTAGTAGCGGGAGAGTACAGGCATTGCACCACCAAGCCCACGCGCAATTTTGATTTGTAAAGATGGTTTCACGATGTGCCAGTGCTGTCGCTTGAATCTCCCAACCTCAGGTATTCCACCCACCTCGCCCCGTCCCCCAAAGTGTCGGATTACAAGTCTCATGAGCCACAGGCCCGCCAATTTTTTATATTGTTTATTTATTTCTCTTTTTAATGGAGTCTTCGCTCTGTGTTGCCCATGGCTGGAAAGTGCAATGGTGCGACGATCTGTGGCTCACCGCAACTTGTTTCCCATCTGGCCAGGTTCAAGAGATCTCCGCCTCAGCCTCTTGAGTAGCTGGATCGACAGGCATCTGCTAACATGCCCGGCAATTTTGCATTTTGTACAGTAGAGATGGGGTTTCCCATGCTGGTCAAGGCAGGCTGGTCCAAACTCCGTGACCCTCAAGTCAACCACCTGACTCGGCCTCCCAAAATGCGGATTAACGGCGCCTGACTCACCATGCCACCCAAACAGCACAATTCTAACAGGGGAAGAAGAAGCAGGAAATCTTGTTTTTTTTTGTTTTTTTTTTTTTTTTGAGACGCGTCCGCTGCTGACCCAGGCTGCGGGTGCAGTGGCTGATCTGGCCAGTGCAAGCTCCGCCTCCCTGTGCACCCATTCTCCCGCCTCAGCCTCCAAGTAGCTGAACATAACCCGCGCCCGCCACCCACGCCCGGCAGTTTTTTTGCGTATTTGCTAGTAGAGACGGTTCACCATGTTACCAGGGAATATCTCGATCTCCTGACCTCATGACCACCCACTGGCCCTCCCAAACGTGCTGGATTTACACGCTTGGCCACGCGCCCGGCCAATCAGAATTCTTAAATAGATGGGAACTGGCTTTTCCACTTATGCAAAAGTTGCACTAGGTCTTAAAAGATGAAAAATAAGTTTTTACCACAAGATCTTCCAGAGAAGAGCCATCACTGATAACAAGGTCATTAAACTGGTCTTGGATTTGGTCCATAGTTTGTGGGAGATCTCGAGCTGGAATAAACCATTCATGCTCTTCTTCCTCTTCCAGCATTTCTTGGAAACAGCGTTCAATAAATTCTTCTTCCCATAACTCCTCTTCTATCTAGATTTATAATAAAGGATAATTTGTAGCACACTTGGTAGATATCACTAAGAATGGCTTAAAATATCTTGAACTAAACCATTTAAAGGCACAAGGTCACACTTTCTTTTCTGCTTCTGTGCTAAGGAAAAAAAATGCTTACCATAATGACCTGCGAAGATCTGTTTAGGGTTTTTCTGTTTTTACTTTTATTAGTAGAACATTCTTTTTTCCATTGAGAGTGGCAGGGAAGAAGTAAAAAGAGATGCCTGTCTCTTTTTTCTGTGCCTGTCTACTCCTGACTCCTAAATTCTCTTGACTTTCACAGTAACACAGCAATCTGACTGGCGTAAGGCAGTGGTTTCCAAATCTGATTGCTCACTGGAACCATCTGGGAGCTTTGAAAAAGTTTTCCAGGCTCCACCCTCATCCTCCTGATTCAGAATCTCTAGGGTGGGACCCTGAAACAAGCTCCCCAGGTTATTTCCATAAGCAGTTAAGCCTGGTAGTAATCAGCAGCCAAATAAGTAGGAGTGGTGGCACATCAGTCTACATACTTCATACATAAAGGACAAGATAAACACATTTCATGGACAAGTACAATCTTACTGAGGGCCGGAATGGACTATGAAAAAGAACATGTTTGTACAAAAAACTAACTTGTCTGTTGAATTCTTCTTCATTTTCCATCCACATGTACTCTGCAAATGGATTGTCATCTTCATGAGAATGACCGTTAATAATCACATCTTCATTGATGATGCTTGGGCTAGTACTGCTGCGACTTGGATCTTTCATGGCTGATGTTGGTTGTCGTTTTTAACCTTAAAAGAACAACACCACAGTTAATTTACTTATTTATTCAGGGTTTTTTCTTTTTGAGACAAGGTTTCACTCCTTCATCCAGGCTGGAGTGCAGTGGTGTGATCATGGCTCACCACAGCCTTGATCTCTTGCCTCAGCCTCCCAAGTAACTGGGACTACAGGTGTGCACCACCACACCACCCAGCTGAATTTTTTTTATTTTTTGTAGAAACAAGGTCTGTGTTACCCAGGCTAGTCTCGAATTTCTGTGCTCAAGTGATCCTCCCCACCTCAGCCTCTCAAAGTGCTGGGATTATACGCATGCGCCACCGGGCCCAGCTGATTCTTTCAGTTCTTAATGAGCATCTGTTTATTAGCAGGCATCATGAATAGGTGTTAGAGGCAGATGATACACGGTAAGTTGCACAATTGGAAAGCTTCATATTTTTTTTCCAAATGATTTTAATGTTTTAATAGGAAAGGATAGCTAAAACATCTAATGTTTTCCTTTTTGTTGTTGTTTTTTTTTTTGAGATGGAGTTTCACTCTGTCACCAAGGCTGGAATGCATTGGCATGATCTTGGTTCACTGCCACCTCAACTGCCCAGGTTTAAGCAATTCTCCCACCCCAGCCTCCCAAGTAGCTGGGATTACAGGCACGTGCTACCATGCCCAGCTAATTTTTTGTATCTTTAGCAGAGACGGCGTTTCACCATGTTGGCCAGGCTGGTCTTGAACTCCTGACCTCAGATGATCTGCCTGCCTTGGCCTCCCAAAGTGCTGGGATTACAGGTGTGCACCACCGTGCCTGGCCACATCTAATGTTTTCTGATAACAGTACATGAAGTACATCAGTTGCTTACATGGGACTCTCCAAACCATCCAATTTATATTTTATATTACATATCACTTGCTTTATAAAGCAAGCATGGTCGGCCGGGCACAGTGGCTCATGCCTATAATTCTGACACTTTGGGAGGCCCGGGCAGGTGAATCATTTAAGGTCAGGAGTTTGAGACCAGCCTAACATGGTGAAACCCTGTCTCTACTAAAAATATAAAAAAGGTCAGGGGCAGTGGCTCATGCCTGTAATCACACCACTTTGGGAGGCCGAGGCGGGTGGATCACCTCAGGTCGGGAGTTCAAGACCAGCTTGACCAACATGGTGAATCCCTGTCTCTACTAAAACTACAAAATTAGCTGGGGTGGTGGTGCATGCCTGTAATCCCAGCTACTCGGGAGGCTGAGGCAGGAGAATCGCTTGAACCT